TTTTTTAGTAAATATCCTCCCCTCCCGCTAAATGCCGAGCTGATTGAATGATCTTTTAATAAATGCGATGATTGTTTTTGATCCATTAAATTAATCGTACTTATTTGTATTCATAATTTGTATATAATCTATATGACACATACATCTAAAATGGTTACTTGTTACTTCTTTTTTAGTTATCGTAATTTCCAGGGTCACATATTTGCTATCACGGACCAAAAAAAGGGCACGGTTCAACCCTTATAAATCGTCATGTAAGTGATCAAAAATTATCATTAAAATTAACTTTATTTAAATTAAATAAAAAATTTCCGCATTATACATTAATGGAAATGACTTTTATATTATATTAATTATATACCTTAATTATATATCTACTTATATTATATAAATAATGTGAACAAAAAAAACATCTGGTTACCCGATCCTATACAAGAAAAATACCAAACCAAATATTTTTGTTACGTCAAATCAGAAAATTTATTTATTGGAAATAATTCTTCCCCTGATCTAAGAACTTTTTTTAAAAAAAAATCATGATTTTTAGCATTCATTTAACCAACGATTATGATTCTCAATCGAAAAACAGTTTCTATGAAACGATGGAACTACTTTTAATGGAATTAATATACCTTAAATTTACATAGTATTCTTGCATACGGCAATAAGAATTTTTATTCGCCTTTATTATTGAAACTCCTAATTATCACTTCATTAGCGGTACATTAGGATTTAGTAATTAATTTAGATTTATCCATTGTATAATCTACTTTTTTGGCTAGATCTATATAATAATAAATTGATAATTACACAAATTTTACTCTATCTATATGTATGCTAACCATTAATTGATAATTAAATGACAAGTTTCATATGATCATGATGCAATAATTATAAATTAAACGAAAAAAAAAATATCCGGTCGTAATTCGGTAAACGGGAATGATACAAACAAGTTTAATGTGTTGATAAGTAAATAAAAAAGCCTTTTCCTTTTTTCTTTCATGCTTACAAACTAAAAAGGATCAATTTTTCTTAAAAAAAAGATGAAACATAACATTATGATTATATCTGAATTAATCCAATAACCAATAAATCTCTCAGTTCTTAAGAGATACAGATTTGTAAATACGGTGGTTGTGAAAGACTTAGATTTTATTGTACAAAATGCGATACAAATGTAACATGTCAATTTTTTTTTCTTCCCCACAATCTTTTTTTCTTTCTTTCTCTCTCTCTTTTTAGAAAGAAAACCGGCAATCTATCCGGCCGAAACGATCAATTATAAAAAGCAACTGAATGTTATATTTTTCGCATTTGATAATTAAGTGCTACGTTCATTCGGTCCCAAACTTTTGATTTAACAATACATTTTAATTCATAATGGTATTTGCAATTAAGAGCGCTACTTTTTCTACAAAATATCTTTATATAACAAATATTTTATATTTTTAAAAATTGAATCTATCATATTAGTAATATTTATTCATCCATTAAGTACTATTTAATGGAGTTAGTAGATAGGAATTGCTCCCAAGTATTTCTGTCCATAAATTTGTTGTATTTTATACATATAAATTTTAATAAATTTTAATAAAGAAATGCACGTCACTAACAAAAAAAAAAAAAAAAATTTATTTTACATTTACATTCAAATGGACTGTTTTTCGAAAATACTGCATGTAATTTTTAAATCATAAAAATAAATTAGCGGATTAGACCAATTGTCCTACTTTTATTACTTAGAACTCTTAGAACATTATAAATATTGTTAATAGAATCTTCTGCCCAAAATTAATTACAATAAGGACTAATTAAATAAAATTCTAATTTATGAAAAATAAATACAGTTTGCTCCTACTAAAAAGGTCTTTATGTAAATTCTTATATGACTGATCGTTATTTATTTGTTTCCATTTTCCATTAGTATAATTATGATTAACGTAAGGACAAAATTACATGAATCAAAAAATATATATTTGATTAAATGAAAGTACATGTATTAAGAAATTTTTTTTGTACAAACACCTTAAGAGGAGAAAAATAAATTTTAAACAAATTCGAATAATTAAAATAATCGAAAAAATCTGGAATCATACTATTAATTGAATTTCGCTTTTATTATTGTATCAGCGAATAATAGACTATTTCCTTACTTATAATTTTTTTTCCTTCCTATCAGTATTATTATTATGCTTGAATCAAATATTTATGTATATCATGTATAAAAAGTATATAAAATAAAATTATTACTGCGCTGACTACGTATTTCTAATATCAGTGCAATAATAATTCATTTGTGCCTTATTCTAAAAAATATCAGTATGTCAAAAACAGCATAGTCCTTAATAATAAATATGATAATATTATTATTCGTCGCATTCATTTCACCGATTATCTCTCCGACAAGCGTTTCACCGACAAGTCATTTATGTTTTGTCAACGATCATCTCACCGACAAGGTGAAATAACTATCGGTAAAATAATCCGGTCGGCGAAATTGATTGTGTAACATTTGTCAGCAAAATAATTGTTGGTGAATGATTGTCATTGAACCAAAATTTTTAGATTTTATTAGGTTCATAGAAATACCTTTTGGGAACTGTTCTTTATTTTATTATTATTATTTTTTAGTTTAATATACCAAAATGATTACGTTATCAATCAATAATCATTATTTATTTATATTCGGTTGCAGTATATCACACTCTCTGATTTATTTGATATTTTCTTTAATCACGCGTTTCGTTATCTACCGGGATAAGTTTTTATAGGTAACCCGTTTTTTATATATTTCTGAAAAAGATAAAGGAGATAAAGGGGCGCTTTTTTTGTGCAATATAAACAAAGATGATGTTTATATCGGTTGGTAACGTTAAATGGGTATTATATAAATACGTCGTATTTTTTGTTTCTTCTTCTTTTTTTTTATCTCAAGTATTATATAAATACATCGTATTTTTTGTTTCCTTCAGCTTTTTTTCTTCTCAACGTACTGTATATTATTATTATTATTATATATATATAACTCATACAAACGAAAATGCCTTTTCAAAAAAGACAGAAACAACTAAGAAGACAAAGAGTCATAAGAAGCCATTTACGACTTAACGTGCCTATTAATAATGGAAATACATTGAGGCATATCACAAATCTTCCTCAACAAAGTACAAATGTTTTATTAATTGATCAATTTTTCAATGGATTTTCTTTTCATTAACTTTATAAAATTAGTCAATTAAAAAAAATAATAATAAGTAAATGTAGTTAATGCTACTGTATGTATCTTTCTTTCCTGATTTTTCTTATTCCATCCTTATATACAACACCGATTCATTTTAAGATATTACTATTTTTAACACATAAAAATTGTTTCTTTTTCAAAAACTTGTATCACGTATTGTATGTATATTGTATGTATCATCTCCTGTTTCATCCATTACTGTCAAATATATTAAAATAGTTTATATAGTTTGCAATAAAATGTAAGACATTATCTATAAAATTTGAATAAAAATTTATTCAGCCTTTCACTCATCAACATATTATTTATTGAGAATGTAGATAGATATTCTTATAAGCCTCATAAAAAAAATGGACTTTATTCAGCACTTTGGATGGAAGGACCTAGATGGGATTTGAGACGAAGCAACTACCCCAAGAACACCACCAAAAAATTTTCGGTAACGTGACTTGATGAGTTTTATTGGTCAGATTTATTTTGTACAACATTATCTGAGAAAAATTTTTGCGGCTTTTTTCAAGAAAAAAAATAAAATGAGGGAACATTTATCTTAAAAATGTAAATTTTATAAAAAAAAAAATTAAAGAATCGTTTAATTTACACATTTCTTATCAGTTATAGTCCTTTTCACTTTATAAAATTTATTGTTGGTTCTTTTTATTAAAATAAGTGAATAAATTATTTATTATTTTAGAAATTTAACGACAAATCTTCGTGTTATTTATATGATAATTTAATAATAGTAATAAAAAAGATAATTTTTATAATGTATTAAATTGAAAAGTCTTATTCTTATTCAAAACTTGATAGTTTACCTTTATACGCTCAAGGTTGTAAATAAATTTTGTATTTAATATAAAAACGCGTTTTTATTTTCACAAAAAAATAAAATACAATAAGATTAAGAAAATAGAATAAACTATAATAAAAAAGAATAATATATATTTCAAGGGAAAAAACACACAAATACAAAACAGTTGGGTGAGAAGTAAGAACTCGATATATCTACTATTTTAGATTAATAATACAAAGTTACGTTACCGAAAATTTTTTGGTGGTGTAGCTGATTCTTGAAATGCTAATCAATCGACGCACTTGACATACCTCGTTTGCCATAGACCGGTCTAGGCCTTCCTTTTTTGATATAAAGATATATGTAGATCACTGTCTAAAGATATGTCGCACCTATCACCTTTGGTCGATTGGTTAGCATTCCAAAAATTGGCCAATGAACGAATTAATCATAACTTAAATATGTGAGTAGAATCAAATAGATACAATTTACAGCCAAAAAAAATAATTTTAAATATTTTTTAGTATTAACCGGGTAAGGTTTTTTGAACGGTTCCAACCTCTACTACGAAACTATGTTAAATATTTTAGGTATTTAAGAAATCTTATAGATTGATTCATTTTATCCAATTTTTTTTTAATGTAACTCAATAATATAATTTATTTAATATCATATTTTAATTTTTGTATATATTTTTATTATGAAATACATGATTGCCGATCATTTGTAATGAATGAAAAAATATTTTTTGATTATTTCATATTTTCATCATGTCTGTTTAACAATATAAGAACTTTATTAAATTTTCGGTACAATTTTTTAGTAAATAATTTTCCGAAAAATTAAAAATTTTTGTATTAACTAATGATGTCATATTTCTATAAAATAATTAATTGTGCAACTAGAGAAACAGATTTAATTGGTTCACATCTTCAACGTACTGAGATAATGCCAAATAAACGATTAAGAACAAGATTTTTGATCGAATTTCCAATCATCAACACTGCCATGTATACTAAAACAGGTATTTTCATTAAAAGGTCCTCGTACTTTCTGTTTCTCGAGACTACCTCCAACTTTAGCATGTACCGTGTACGTTTGGTTTTGAAAACTAAGATATTCATGGTCATCGCCAGCAGGATCGTAACTACAATCGCGGTAGTCTTCGTCACCGGCTATGCGATAACCATTTGAATCCTCTATCCAAATTCTACAACTGCAGAGAGTCAAACGCAAATCCGTGTCGGAAGTAAATGCTATACATTAAACCAAAAAGTTGAATCATTAGAAAAGAGAATGGAGAACATATTGAATGTAAGGACTTTACCTTTAATGTCCATTATATAGAAACACATGAAAATGACAGTAAGAAGGTAAAAGCTTTGAAGTTTCATATTAGTTAATGACTCTTGATAGACCTGAGGGAGTAGTAGTTTGGGTGGTTGTCAATTTGGGAGTTTAAAGTTTCAATCTCTGCTTCTTTTTCTAAGCGTAAGTTAATTCTGTAAACCAAAATTTTGGTGGCAGTGGTAAATTTATATATAATTTCAAACCTAGATTTTCAATGGTTTTCTGCCAAGAGCTATGACTTGGCTTGATTCGCTTTGTTCGTTTAAATCAATCTATAATTGACAAAAAATTCGCACATCCCGATCAAAGGAGTATAGGGTTCATTTTAAAAAAATATATTTATCATAGTAGTCAATCTTGCCACGTGAATAAAGTTAGCTTAATAACCGAAAATATTAAAAATAAAATTTCTCCTTATCTATTTCCTATTGATAGTCTCCCAAATATCTTATTATTTATTTTACTCAATTATTTATGAATTTACTATATTTGGGATATCAAAATTTTTTTATACTCATTTAAATGATTTTAGTTTTATGATACTGACAGCATTTTGCTAACATGAAAATTACCTTAATAGTTCCTTACTGTGTTTTAATTTCAAATTATTTGATTACAATTAAGAAATATGCATATTTCATTCACTTCGTGATTGAAGTTAGTTTTTCTTTGTGAATGGTTAAACATGATTTACAGTTTACACCTAACTATCATATAATGAGTGATACGAATAGTAGTAGAGTATGGTGGAGGTGTTGAGTAGAGTATAACGTGGATGTGACATTATACTCAAGTGATAAATAAACACCTCGGCCCAAGCTCAGCCCCAGCGGTTTGGCCGGGTGTCTATTCATCACTCATCACTTGAGTATAGTTCACACCCTTTATGTTACACACCGCTAAACATCACAATACTCTACTCAACACACCGCCCCTACTCTACTACTTTTCGTCTTACCTTCATATAATCCATACCATATCAACAAATGAAAATATAATCTGTTAACTAACAAAATATAACATAACTGATACATTACAAAGAAATCAGTTTTCAAGCATTTATTATTGATAATCAGATTTTCCTTACATTTTTAAGAAATATGGTGGTATATTTGTTAGCTGTTGTTAATTTACCCTTTCCGAAAAAATAATCCAGTGTCATCAAATTATCATGAACGCATTTATTAAAACCAATTTATTTTTGTACATTCCGCACCGTCAGGTAGTGGTTTTCTTAAATGGAGGAAGAACCGACAATAAATATTGTGTTTAGCGTATTTTTTTTTTATCTAGAATATAGTAACCATGTCTATTATATTAACCCTTAAAAGTATTTCCGAATTCAAAACATTAACTGTTAATAAAATATGTTCCGATTAATGACTAGAAATCTTACCAAAAACGGTTTAAAACAGTGATAACAGTTATCCCTATAAAAACGAAATGTATATTTGTGCTCACGTAATAAATGTCTAAAAAAGCACCATTTTCTTAATTTTTTTGTTTCATAAATCGAACAAAATGGTGCTTTATTAGACGTTTTGTACACATAATCATAAATATGAAATGAATTAAGGTTAGGCTGTTAGGAGTATCCGAACTTTTCGCTGAAGTCCAATTCACAGAAGCCCATTTTGCTGAAGCAAATTTCGCTGAAGGGATATTTCACCGAAATGCCATTTTCCCGAATAAACATTTTACCGAAGGACATTTCGCCAAAGCCATTCCGGCGAAGGAACTGGAGTTTGAACCGGTTGCACAAACCGGTTGTAAATTCAGTTTCCAACAATGAACCGGGTTCATATTTTTTTTTTGAACCATTGTCACGTGATCATTTGTGATTGACATGAAAAATTACGTATAAAAAAATGACTCAGAATTATGAATTTGGCTGAAATTATGGTTGCTTTGTAAAATCGGTTTGAATCGGGTTGAAACGGGTCAAACCGGTTGTACTCGTTTTAAATTTAGTTTGCGAAAATACAACTGGTACGTTTTTAAAATAAATTAAAACACTAGAGCCGTAAAACTCGCTTTGGACCCTGTAATGCCGAAATTACTATCTAGTGAATTTATTAATTTATATTAATACAAAAATTTAAATTACGATAACTAAAGTATTCGGAATTTACCACAATATATAACGGATAATTTTATCGTTAAATAGTGTTTTCATCAGGTTAATGATATTACAAGCAATTAGTTTATAAAATATTTTATTCCCAAAAATGATATATCGATTAGAAGTATAATTGAACGAATGAATACAATTTGCAGTAATTGTCTAAGTCATTTCATTTATTCCTTTTCGTTATAGAATGTAATTATAAAATTCATTATCTACAGAACGTATCGGAATCATTTGAAATTTACTTTTATGTTTGTTTATCAAGTGTGAGAAGTCTGAATTACAAATTAAAATTATGATCGTCAAGAAAATTTGCAAGAATTTTTATTTGTTAGTTAAGAGGTAAATCAGACTTTAATCCTTAAAATTAAGCAAAAAAAAAACAAAGGTTCTAGACAATTGAATAATCCGCTAAATTATTTTATTGATTTAAATTACATACAGTATTTACGGAGTCAAAACAGTTCATTATAGGAATGTAGGTACTACGAAATGTAAATAAAATAAATACAGTCAACTCTCGATATAACGAACTCGCTTTAACAACGAAATTTTCTCAACACGTGACATTTAACCAATCTTGTTATAATGAATTAACCAATTAAATTCAAATTCTTTGCTATAATCTTATAGTGAATTTGAGATGAAAACCGGAGGGTTCGTTATATCGAGAGCTGACACCAATGTAAAAATATAATATATTTTTTATATATAGTTATTCTGTAGAGAAAGTAGTGGTTTTAATTGTTTCATTTTTGTTAACACTTTTTGATGGAAAGTATTGTTAGAATTAGCGGCTGTGCCGATCAATAAAATTATTTTCTAAAAAAAGGTTAAAAGAGTTGAATGACTTCATTTTAGGCTCATAGAAAATACCTGTTAGGATTCAAGAAAACTTCTCTTTAGCTTTTTTGACAATAATTCAACTGCTGTAATAATTGTAATAATGATTTTATAAATATTATAAAACTTGTACCACGTTATGATTAATATTTTTGTTTTTATTTTGACAAATTATGTTATGTTATTTGCAAATTTATTTATTAATTAACATATTCAAGCTATTTAAGTTGTTTATTTTATTTCGGTTATTTAGAGTGGTTCGGTAAAGTGGCTAACTAAAATGGTTGTTACAATAAAAGATCTATTCTTCGGCTGAGTAATTTATGACCCGGTCTTTAACTTCCGAAATTGGAATAGAGTACCAATAATATATTTAATTATAGATTATGCATGATGATCACAACTATTCGGTAAACAAATCAAAGTGATCTTTTCAGTTTTGATGATCAATGATCCCATTAAATTGCTCACATGGTTCCCGGGTTTTTTTTCGTTATTTGTTATAAATATATATGTCTTTTGATACCAGAGAATGGAGATAACGAACAAAAAAAAAAAAGGTTCAAAGGTGCACCGACCAGATCAATAAAGTTAATTAATAAAAAAATTGTTCGATCGATCGTTTTCTTTTAACGCTTTTTTAAACGTATTTCATAGTTTTTTCCTCTTAAGATAGAATATTTTTCGTTATATAAAAATTTTTTTTCGATTAATTACATATTGTACATAAATAAATATAAAAATATATATATATATATATATTATACAAAAGCGTCTAAATTCAATAAACCCAATAAATCCAATAAAAGGCATAGACAACATAAACATTGGAAAAGTGAGGTACAAATCTAAATTGTTTTATGATTCATGTTGCATCATTATCTCATATACATGAATGTACATTTACATATACTTTAATTTATAATAGGAAGATGCATTATTAATATCTTTGGCAATGAAATTCAATAAAAGAAAGTGGAAATTGGTTGCAGCGGAAATGAAAATTCATGACTCGGGAGAATCGGAGAGATACTTTGGACATCTTGAGGATGGAAGTAAGTAATTATTTGCTTGCATAGTGGTTATTTTATGTATATTTTGTGCATAAATGATTGTGGGTCTAAAGCATTTACAATGTAGGAATTAAATTTCATTATAAATAGCCCACATTTTCAATAACTGAACAAAGAATTCTTATTGACTAAAAATAATCCATTATTGTTTCAAAATGGTATATATAAATAGAATTCATCCAAATATTGCTATGTAGTATTATCTGTAATTATTTTATTAGCTTTTATAGTTGAAACAGTCAATATGTTAAATATTTTCTTAATTTCAGATAAATGGAAGAGGATATGATATTCTACCAACTTGAAAATAAGTTTACACCAAAGGAATTGAAAGATTGTCCAGAATGTAATAAACCTAGGAATGTGAAGCTAATACTATGAAAGAAAATTTTCTTTATTGGACATCAGGGATAAAGAGATTGATAAATTAATTCAATACACCCTACTCAAGCTTGTGATTACTTGGAATGGATCCCTTTGAGAAATTCGAACTGGTTAAATATGTTGGTAAGGGTGGATTTAGTAGCGTTTATTCAGCTCTTTGGACGGAAGGACCTAGATGGATTTGGGATGATGGTGCGCAGTAATGGACACGAGCTGGACTGCTTCATTGGCTGGAACGTTTGGTATTAAGATCCAACATCCAATTATATGATTGTGATGAAGTATTATGAGAACGGAAACCTATATCAATATCTTGATCATTGTAACGGAATTCTTTCTTGGCGAGAATCGCTGGAGGACTTGAAAGAATCCATTCCGAGGGAAAAATTCACAGAAATCTTCACGGAGGAAACTTACTTGTCGAAGACGAAAAAGTATCTACGGATGCTCGTATTGCTGACGTTGGTCTTCATGGGCCATGTAATAATGACATAAATAATGGTTCAATTCAAAGATACGGGGTCTTACCATATGTTGCGCCAGAAGTTTTACGTGGCGATAATTGTAATATTGCTTCTGATATATATTCATTTGGTATAGTTATGAATACTCTTGCAACTGGAAAAAGACCCTGGTATAATAGAGCACATGATATTAATTTGGCAAAAGATATTTGTGATGGTAAAAGACTTGAAATTCCTGATGATACGCCCAATTTTATTCAGAATTGATGCAACAATGTTGGGATAATGATCCGGAAAACCGTCCAACCGCATTCTAGTACTTAAATGAAAAATTAGGAGAATGGATTATTTTAATATGCGATGACCCAAATCCTTCAAAGATTTCGGACGAGAATTCCGTTGCCGAAGAAAAAAGATGGAGGAAAATTTCTCAATTGTCTAAAAAAATTTCTCATCCAGAAATACATCCAGAAGCATATTTTACAAGCATGCCCTTGCATTTCCCGAACAATACGAAATTTTTTTACAGTTAATTTGATTTTTTTTATTCAGCTTATCTTCATTAGGCCGTTCCAATATAATTGTTGGTTTAATGATGAAAAGTTTGAGGGGGAGGGAATTACATAAACAAAGTAAGTGAAATAGTCATAATAAATTTTTGGAAATTTGGTAATTTAAGTTTGGGGTATTTGAACATGCATAAATTATTATATGTTTATTAGAAATTTAGATTTTTCACAAAATTGAGTGGGGTAGGTACATTAAACAAACAATTAATTTGGAACGGCCTTATTATTAAATTATAATATTAGTTACAGTACTGTATATATAATCCGAAAATACATAATTATGGGTCGGAATTACGATAATGTCAGCCAATGTCTTAAAAGGTAATAAAATTCCAGCCGGTACTAACTAAAAATTTAACTTTTTGCTTTTTATGTACTTTATTATTATATATTATGCCAATTCACCTCCGAATATAAAACAGAATATGAATGTTTCCTACTTAAATGAAAAAATTGGAGAATGGATTATTTTAAGGGCAGAATAATTTTCATATTTAATTTTCACTAGATTTGTTTCATTTGGAGGTACAAATTTTTTTAATTAAAGAAATATTTTAGGATAAAAGTTAAAAATATAAGTTTAGAACCTTGGCTTTTTCTAATCATATAAAATTTATCCTTTTATGATAATTATTACAATAGTTTAAAACGAGAAATTAAATTTGTGATAGTCCGAACCCTTTAGAGATTTCAGACGAGGACTCTATTGCCAGGGAAGATAGACGGAGGATGATTTCAAAATTGTCTTAGAAACATATTAACACTTAATTATAACGGTAAGTTTTTCCTTTGTTCAAAAAGGTCATGCGTTAATATTGTTAATGTACATGTGATTAATAAGCAGTAACTTTCAATATTTTAGTAAATGGAAGATTTATCGTGTCAATAAGAAATAAACTTGCCCGAAAAACTGTAGGGTTGCCTAGGATGCAGTAAAACACGGATCTCTTTGTAGTACGTGCTTGGAATACGAAACAAATGACATAAAAGAAATTTTTTCTCGTTGGATATCAGGAGATAAAGATATTGATGAATTAATTTGTTATACTCAATAAAACTCCAGCCAAGCTTGTGATTACTTAGAATGGATCACTTTTGAGAAATTCAAAGTGGTAAAATATATCACTAAGGGTGGATTTAGTAGCATTTATTCGCCCCTTGGAACTTGGAAGGAAGAACCTAGTAGATGGATTTGGAATAATGGTGTGAAAGAAATGACTCGAGCCGGGCCATTGAATGTTACTTTAAAGCGTCTCGATAGTTCACAAAACATTTCATGTTCTTATATTAATCAGGTAATTACGTTTTCGATAAATTCTGGCCAAATTCATAGTTCCATCCAGAATTTTCTGACACATGATTTTATAACGATTGTGGCTACTTTGCCAAGATTTATTTGCTTTTCTTTGTTGTTAGATTTAAAAGGCATATTAAAAATGTTTACAATTTGCTTTTCTAGCTGGAACACAAAGATCCGACTTCTATTTATATCGATATGGTGATGAAATAATACGAAAACGGGAATATTTATCAATATTTTAACCATCGCAGTGGAATTATTTCCTGAAAGACATGGCGAATCGATGTGTTGTGGAGATCGCTGAATGTCGAGAAGAATTTATTCCGAAAGAAAATCTTCACGGAGGAAATTTAATTATCAGAGATGAAAGGTAACTATGAATGCTCGAATTGGTGATGTAGATTTATATGGAACATGTAATTATTATGAAAGTATATTGATATACTTATAAAGCGCCAATTTTTTCTAAAATTCTGGCTAGCTTTATATTGGAATTATATGATATATAGGTTCGTCACGAAAATCACATCACAATGCTGCTTCTGTTGTATATTCATTTGATATTATAAATACTCCCCTACTGAAAAAAGAGTTAGAATAATAGGGAACATTTATGCAAAGGATACTATTTGTATGATAATAGACTTGTGATTCTTAAATTTATGTAACAATTTTAGGATAGCGAGCCAGAAAAACGTCCAACAGCATCATATTGAAGTGAAAATTAGGGGAATAATTTATTTTAATTTGTGATGATCCAAATCCTTCAAAGATTTCAGATGAGTACTCCGTTTCCGAAGAGAAAAGATGGAAGATTATTTTCAATATTGTCTAAAAGGTACAGTACAACTTAACACCTAGCTAATTGTAAAAGAAAGTTTAACTTTATTTATCGAGGTATTCAACTCTAATAAATAACAATTTATTACTATTTTTATGAATAGAGCGCAAATTTTATACTATCTCTCACGGAATTTTTAACAACTATGATTTACATGATTAATGTAGAAGTCGAACCGTTTAGTAAACTATCAAGACGTTTCAAAGCAACATTCATTGGCCCCGCTCGAATCCATTCTTACGTACTGTTATCCAATATGATATCCAAGTCCTTAATTTAAAGAGCCGAACAGAAATTACTGAATCCATTCTTATCAACAAAAATATTTCGAGTCTCAATTTCAAGTAATCAAATAATTTTAAGCGGCACTTAGTTGAATGTATCGTATTAATTCGTCAATCTATTTATTTCCTGATGTCCAATAAGGAAAGTTTTTTCCCTTATGGCACTATTTTCGCATTCCAAAAGACTAAAAGAAATTCGAGGTTTATCGCATTCCGGGTAATCTTTAATTCTTTTGTAGTAAACGTATTTCTTGTGATTTGTGAATCTTCCTGTGCGTAGAAGTGAAGAAATAAATAATTATTGGTCATCAGTCATGTAATCATGATCCTGAATTTAAACAGAAAATTTTACATTCAGAAAGAGAACTAAATAGTTAAAAAAAATTCATAACCTTAAATGATAAATTATTTTGTACTCTAATTTTTCGGTCTTATAAATCGAGATTTTAGACTTGTTTACTCATGAAATCATGATAGTCTTATATAAGTTAGAATGTGTTCTATACAGTAATTCTGTAAAACGAAGTAAAATTCGGAAATCGAATAATAAAAAAAAACATCGAGCTTATTAAGTTAAAAAGAATATTTATTTATACAGTATCACAAATAATGTATATCATTTCATCATTCAAATATTTCAAACTTGCTAAACTTGCTTTAGAATGAAATTTGGATATTTTGTTATTTACTATTTTGTACAGTACATTATCGTTTTCTATATTTAAATAGTTCTACGTTTTTATGACGTTGAATTATTTTCGTTTGTGCTGATTTCTTCTATTTTAAATAAAATAAGTTGTTGAATGAACAATAAAAATAACATAATTTGGATGGAATAAATAAAACATTACGTACTATTTTACCGTCATAAAAATCATTTTAGCCAGAAATATGCATAACTACGCACATCATTCCCAAGTTGTACTATGTTACCGACGATTAAATTTTCGGATAGTGTGATACTATAATTCCGATGATATTTCAAATAATAGTACACGATCAATTCGTTATTCTAATAATATGGGTTTGTCTTTAACAATATTAACTTAATACATATTATTTTTGAGGTTCCTTAATGTACAGTGAGGGTGAACGATATTAACGTACGAACTGGCCGGAGTTAACGTTTTCGCTATCACGTGCAAGTGCATAACTCCTAAACTCGGGCCAGTTCGTACGTTAATATCGTACACATGATGTGTAAGTTGCATTAATAGTTAAGGAATCCGGCGGTAGCATTAATAGGAATCCAGTAGCATTAATAGTTATTTAATACGGAGATCGGCATGTCCACAGAGCTAATTATTTTGATCATATGGTCATGACATCAACATGCAGATGAGGCGTATATCACTTTTTCGGCCAACAAAAAGAAAAAAAATTATAAAAAATTATATATATATTAATTATAATCAGCTATTTGTATTGAGTATATTAAAAAAAATTTAAAAAAAAATTTTTTTTTTTTTTCTAACTTAATTCCAACAAAAATTATGGCATCTTTAAACATAATTGGTTATTTACTTTATAATTTGAATAAAATTATTCCTACGCTTATTATAGCATATATTTTCAAATATTATTTATCATGGTATACAAGAGAGAATCCAATTCCTGGACCAATTCCCTTACCTTTAATTGGAAATTTACATCAAATTGGAAAAGATTTAGGTAAAGAAGCAATTAAATTACAAAAGAAATATGGAGATATATTTGAAGTAATGCTTGGACCATCAAGAGTAATATTCATAAGTAGAGCTGAATTAATGGAAAAAATTTGTAGTCCAGCATTAAAGAATAATGTTTTTGCTTATCGTTCATTACCTAATGCAGGATTAGATGAGATGGGATTATCAAAAAGTGGTATATCTTTTAATATGGATTTAGAAGGTTGGAAATTTAATCGTAGAGTTTTAAGTCATACTATTATGTCACCAATATTTTTAAGGGAAAATATTAATTTTGTTAATCAAATTTTTGATGAATTAGAAAATTATTGGATTAATTTATTAAAATTTGAAAAAAAAATAGATTTTACAAAATGGTCATCTTATGTTGTAACGGATATTATTTTAACTTCTATAACAGGAAAAAAGAGTTATTCTACCACAATTTATCATAATAGTTTATCGAATTCAATTGAAACTGAAGTTCCTGATAATATTATTAATGAATCTTTAAAATTCATTGATTCAATTTATATGTTTCTTACAAGTTTTTTATTCTTTTATATTATTCCTCCTTTTATTAGACATAATTTTCCTTTTATTAAATCAATACATAAAAAATATGAAGATAATGTTGAATGGTTAGATACTGAATTTGAAAAAGTTATTAAGAAAAGAAAGCAAGAGATTGAAAATAGTCCTGTTGATCAACCATTAGAACATAATATATTAAATTTATTAATAACGATAAATACTGAACGTGATATTAATAAAATTTCTGGTATTGATTATATGAGACCAATGAATGATGTGGAAATTCGTGATACCATAAAAGAAATTTTTAGCGCTGGAGCAGATACCGTAAGTATAAATATGGATACAATGAAATTTTATGATGTTTTTTTTTAACCATTTGATATTTAATTTATTTAATTGATTTTTAATATTTTTATAGACTAGAAATTCACTGTGTTTCATCATTTATTATATCCTTAAATATCCTGAAGTTAAGGATAAATTAATCAAGGAATATGAATCAATTTATGGTGATTTAACAAAAAAACCAAATATAACTAATGAATCACTTGATAAATTAGTTTATACGGAAGCTGTTATTAGTGAAGTTGCCCGTCTTAAACCTGCGGTACCAGTATTTTTGCGTGCTACTAGTCTTGATACTGAAATTGGTGGTTATAAAATTAAAAAAGGTACCCAAATTTTTACGAATTATATTGGAGTTCATATGCATGAAGATCATTGGAATGAACCCGAGAAATTCAATCCAGATAGATTCTTAAATGATAATATTGTTAAAAATTCTCTTTTAAATTTTGGTGGTGGTATTCGTATATGTCCAGGAAGACATTGGGCTATTAAGAATCTTAAAATTTTATTAATTAGATTATTAACAAAATTTGATATGACTTTAGTAGATCCCGATTCTCCATTAAAATCGGAATTTAAAAGCGTAGAACATTGTAATGAATTAGAAATTTATGTTAAAGAGAGAGAATGATAAATGCCTAATGGCTTATTATATAGTTATATATTTATTTATATGTATTATTTATTTATTATTTATTTATTCTTTGTAACGCAATATTAATAAATTTTGAAATATTTTTTCTTATTCCTACTATATTGTTAAATTATGACATAGGACGTACGGTATTTAAAAATCGTCTTCTTTAAATTTTTATTGTAAAATAATTTATTCTAATATTTCAGGCGCGATTTATATCAGGAAGAATGTAGAACGCACACGAAAAAGAACTATCTTGTTGTTTAACGCGATTCGGTACTAAAATTTTTGGAGTAGTTAATTTTTTTTATAAACATACAGCATTTAATCATCGAGTTTAAATTTCAACTAGATTAACGTCAGTCAATTACACGTTATTTCAAGGAGTAATACTCCAAAAAAATTTTATTAAAATTCACTCCTTTCATATTTATCGACGGGATAACTTGAGGAAGAATCTAGCAAGTAACCGAATTTAGCGTGCAATTAAATCAAAAAAATTATTGAAACTATTATGTGCCAACATTATATAAGTTTTATTTTCGTACATTTTAAAACATTCTTTTCTTATTGTGAACATTATATATTTAATCATAATAATTAAATATTAATCATTATATATTATGCAGCCCATTAGGATCAGATAAAAAATATTGGTTTTATGTATTAAAATAACACTAATAACAAGTTAATTAAAACTAGGCATGATCTTGGATGGCATGCATATAATAAATAATACAGTTATTGAATGGGAGGGTAACATATCAATCTCCCCTACGTACGGAGTAACCGATATTTTACCCCCATCCAATAATTATAATTTATTTATTTATTGATTGAAAAAAAAAAATTGATACATGATCTATTTTGTTATATTTTGTTGTTCTATCATAGTAAGGATTTGCAATGTTCTAATAATTTCTCCCTTTTGGCTGAAAAGGCGAGAGATTAGTAGATCATTTCCCACGCCAGGTGTTTTATATAAAAAGAAAATAGGTTTTAACTTCAAAAGAAATCTCTTTTCTTCCATTATTCACTGAAAATTGAAGTTAAAGAGAACTTGAGAAATTACATTTTAACGGTATGTAAAAGTAAAAGAGTTTTTATTAACCACATAAGACAATAAAGTAGAATTTACTCCTTCTCTCTAGCAGATTTGATTCTTTGGCGTATATCCTTGATTGAGACAGCGTATTTTTTCTATTTCTGGTAAGCCGCATGGCGAATCATTTGCCACCACACTCCGTTTACATCCTTTGCATTGAATAGGCAGTATCTGGGATCCTCGACTATTTCTACCGGTAACTGATTACGTTCTCAATGATCAAATTTTTTTCGTCAGACAGGTTGACAACCTTATATCTACTTTCTAACACGATGGGAAAACCTTCCAAGAGTTCACGAGACACACGTTTGATTAAAGTCAGGAATAATCTCAAAAACAGACTACAGTTGCAAGAACGCAAATGTAAACTGATCGTTGATGAAAGTATTAATATGTTAATGAAAGCGCAGCAAGAACTGCAAGAAATAAAAAAGAGAATGGAAGAACAAGAGAAAAGAGTGAAATTGATTCAAGAAAGAGTAGCGGAAAGGGAAAGGGAGCAAGAAGAAGAAAGAAATAACGTCAATGAAAAGTTAAATGACGAGGCAAATCGGTTAGTTCACGTTATGGATAATCTAAAGATCTGTGATTATAAAGATATCTAATTACAATTATAACTTGGAAGTATAGTAAAGGAAATATTAGTTAATGATCTTAGTTGGTGATGATATTTTGACAATAATTTCTTTTTTCATATTGTTTGTTTTTTTTACATGTAACGTTAATCTTCACGTTTAATAAATTGAATAAAATCTGACGCGAAAAAAAATCAGTTACGAGTTGACATGTGATAATGTTATTTTTCTGTTTACTGATTTAAACTAAATGATCGATCAAAAAATTGGTCACAACTTTTAATAATGCAAACAAAGGGCATGTAAATAGGATGTAATATGAAGATCGAAAGTCCTGGATGATCACTTACGTTAGCGTTAATGCGTAATCTATCATATATGTCAATTAGTGTGTCATCAGTTATTTATTTCCAATAATAGTGTCTGTAAGAAATAGGAAGTCACAATAAGTACTTTGCCTACCAATGGATTTTTAATGAATAAATTAAATTAAAATCATATAATTTAATTATATAATATTTGATGAGGATACTTTTCTTGGCAATAATTCGGTATAAGCATAAACCAAATAAAAGTAAATATCAGATATTTATTTTTATCGTAAAAAGAAAAAAATGAATAATGATCGAAAAATCCATCGGAATATCCAGAAATCCTAGTGTTGATCAATTATGCCAAAGTTAATCGTAACAGGCAAAAATGGGTTAATGCTAAATATTCATAACGGAAATTATTGAAATTAGAATTTGCCCTTATTACTAAATAAATAAGATGATACGAATCTGCTAAGTTGGCCCGCGCAAATGACGGATTGAATCCAATAATCCGGTTACTAAAATATTTTTAACAGTTACCTAATATAAAACTCAACGGGGACAGATTTTTTGGATACGATCACTACTTTATATTTAGTGAATCGTATACTTCGAAGTTATATTATCGCTGTTTTGACCTGGTAATTTATTTTATTATAAAGTGATTTGCACAATTATGAAAAGACAAGAAATGGCTTTCGGCGAAATGTACCGTAACCTTTTGAAAATTGCGAGTGATCTGAGTGTATAAATGACCACATATAGATAGCCGAAAATCTCTAATTTTTAAAATAGTAAAATAATTAATCACATGTTACGCCCCATGAATATAATGAGCCGCAACGTTATCCGAACCTGGCTCAGGCGTAGGTCGTCGTGGAATTCCAGGGGATTTTCTGCGATTAAACCGGGTCCGGATGATCGGCAATCAGGAATTCGGCTCCGTTTTTCGCCTAACTACACCATTATCAGGGGATATACCCATTTATTTCATGGGAAGAGGAACACTAGGGGTTTATTTCCTTTCGGAAAAAACCCAACTCCCATGAAATAAATAATACTTAATGAATAAACTCACGGTGACATAAAATACTATAAATAAAAAATTATTTGCATGTACTGCATACTGTATTTATTTAAATCTAAATAAAAAAAAGTTTGATTATTTATATGATTTTCTTCTGATATCTTTGTTTAGCAGATTTCTCGTACGGTCATACCAATAAATGACTTGAATTTATATCTTTTTCAACATATTCAATATACATTACAGCAAGATTATATTGAGCTATAACATTTTCTGAATTTGTTGCTCTGTAATATACCTACTATAAAATGTTGATTAATAAAAAAGTGAAATATAAATTCTTATATATATGAGATTTTATTTTTTTTATAAAGAATTAAAGAATTAGGACTACATATTAAAATTTTACTACGTGTTTAATTTATCTTAAATTCATAATTAATCTTAAGTCATAATATTATTAAAAATTAACTAATGCGATATGAAACTAATAATTATACTAAAACTATCTTAAAATCACTAACTTAAATTATGAAAAATTTTCTTAAAAATTATCTGTAATGGACGATGATTTAGAACTACTTATGTGATTACTGTGATTGATGATTTAATCCAGTGACTAAATGTTAACCAATCCGTTTGAAAGATTTGGAAAAGTTAAATTGGTTAGAGTGAATTCATTAGTGCCTATTCAGCTCTTTAGATGAAAGGACCTAAATGAATTTGGATGATGGCGCACAAGAATGGACTAAATTTGGCTAATTAAAGTTGCTTGAAACGTCTTGATAATTCATGAAATGTTTTATATTAACCAGTATATCGATATTACGAGGGAAATAGTATACCTATAGTATTTATAAATAAGAAATTACAGTTAAATATTCAAATATTTTATTTTATTTTTTCCCAAAAATGATTCGTTCTCCCATTTTATCGCGTAAAATTTTAAATCTCGCGATATGCTCGTACATAACGTTTCTGATATCTGAGTGTAGACAATTGATAAATCATTAAGTTAGTCTGACTTTTATTTGAAACAAGATTGCATCACCCGCTCATAAATTTCCGTACTTACTTCTACTCAGTATCCTAATTAATATCATACAGCAAATGGTATACATTTACAAAGGAATAATATAAATTTCCCCATGAAAACTTCCAATGTAAAAGATCTTCCACGAAAAATTCTTGCGGATTATTTCATAAATTCCCCATTGATTCCCATCATATCTCTCCAGAGAAGGGTTCCATCGTAACAATCAAGGTATTATCTGGGATTAAAATATATAGTTAATTTTAAAAATCATTAACATTTATTTATATTGGAATAAAAATGCGTCAAAGAAATTATATACTTCCATCAACATACCTGATTAATTTAGGAAACATTTCATGAATTATCACGACGTTTCATGACAACATTATCTAGTCCAAGTTAAGTCCATTTTTGTGTATTATCATTATAAATTCATCTATGTTCTTTCATCCAAAGAGTTGAATGGACACTACTGAATCCACCTTCACCTAATTTAATTAATTCCAAGTAATCAGGAGTTTAGCGATGTTTCGTCGTACGGGATGGATTTATTTATCAATATCTTTATTAATCGATGACCGATGAGAAAGTTTGTTATATTCGCGAATTCAATATCTACGACCTGATGAGAAAGTTTCGTTATATTCACGCCATCCGACAAATTTCATTTTCTTGTTTTTGTTATGTCGAATCCTCGCGTCGGGGACGATCAACAGTCATCTACAAAAAACCATATTTCTCAAAATTTAAAAATTATTAAGATCTACTTTGACGTTCCCAACTTTTGACCGACCGTATTTAAATAAATTTTGTTACAAGGGATTGCTATTCCGATAAAACGTGGGGCTACCCATAAATGGGATATCCATGCAACCCCTAATTTATATCAAGTAAACAAATAGCAAGGTCAATTTAATATTTCACGTGCATGATTACTATTCTTCTTTCTTATGACACTTTTAAGGTTAATCGATAAAATGGGTTTATGTTTTTTTGGTTAAAATATTTGGATAAACGGTTATAAATTTTTAATAAATATAATAGAAAAGGAAATTATTTTGATATAAAAGAAACAAGGCAGTTCATTGAAGTTACTTTTCAATTTTTTGAAATGAACATATTAAAAAGAGTTAACTCAACGGGTGTTTTCTTTTCTGTTATTCATGAAAGACATATAGTTGAGTTGACATAAATGTTCTTATAGAATTTTTTTGATTTTTGAATGGAAGTTTTTAATTGTATACGCTCGTCATTACTAATTACACAAGGGCAACGAATATTCTATGGAAGCTCCCGTTGAAAGAATAAAATACAAAAACTTTTTAGGTTTTTGTAAATAAACGAAGATGCGCGATATTTGCCAAACACTTTATTTGAATTGATGTGAACATGATAATAATTAAGAATTACTTTAATAAGTTGATATTTCAAGGGACCCAAGAATAGACGGTGTAACCTTATGAAACTGCAATAAAATCTTTATAATTTTATTTCTTACAAAATAAATGCACTCTTTTGATCTTTTGATAACCTAATATGATAATCTATACGTTGGCAACGAAACATTCGAATTTTAGATTTTCAAATCTCGAATTTTCGAAGGAAAATTAGCGTAAAATGTATACGTAGTAAATATACATATAAAATATATGAAAATATAAAATATATTAACATTTTTACAATGCAAATATATTAATAACTGTTTTTCTGATTATAAGTTTTATTATATTATACGATGTTAAATTTTATTTTAAAAAAACTCAAGATTCCTGAAAATAATATTAAAAAAAAAACAATTCTATTTCGTCTGATATCGTTCATTATTTTTTCATTCATTTCTTTGATACAATAATTAATTTTTTTTTTTTTTTTAAAAAAAAAAAAAAAAGATCTTGATGCATAAATAACTTACTCCAATATGTAAACTTACAATTAGAACATTTAATAACCGGAATAAAGGTTTTTTAATTTTGGTAAACAAGAGCTCCTTTCAAACAAGTCCAAATTAAACTTTCATTATTCATTCAATCATTGATACGTTTCCTTTTTTTATATAAAGATTCATCACTTTTAAAAGAATTAAAATTCTTTAACTGAGTTTAAACTCCGATTGATTTTAATTACATGCAGATAATTTTAATACCGAGAAACAACATTAATTACAATAAATAATACAATGAATATTTTGTTATTACTTTAACCGTTTATGTAAAAGCCGTTTCCATGTCACACTAAAAAAAAGAATAATAATAAATAGTAATAATAGTTTGGGACATTCAAAAGTTTTCATTTTGATGTACGTAATTTTCAATAATTACTCATTAGGATTTTTATCTTTCATAAAAAAAAAAACTGTTAGTACTAATCTAATATTGGAATGCATAGAAAGATATTTGTTTATTATGTTACGCCAACTTAACAAAGTCAATTACCCGTTTATAAGTCTATTGATGCAGTAAATTCCTTTCATTTTACTAAAAAGTAAGTAAATGGAACTTCGATCAACCTGAAATTGTGGATCATTTGATATCAAATTTTTAATAGTTACGGTTATTTTATGGGTTAAAAAAAATTCTCATTTATTTTTAATTTATATATACGGTATATATACATTATTATTATTATTTTCTTTACATAAAAATTATGTATCACGTGAAAAGAAATTCATGCTGTAAAATTCTTCGAAAATAATTATTATTCTTTACTTTTTTTAGTTATAGTATCAAATATTAAGTACCATAATGTCTTAAAATTATTATGCAAAGTCGATTTTTTTTTTTGTTTTCTTAGTAATTTCATAATTAAAGCCACCCATTTACGTATTTTTAATTTTTAAATATCGCCAGTATTTTTATTTAACGGTCGCTTGATAAAACAAGAGTTTCGGTTATAACCTGTCATAACCCGGTTTTTACCTGTTTGGTCAACTAACCGGTTTAATCGTTAAAAACCCGTTCAACCTAGCAATTTAACAGTTAAAATATAATATACTATATAACTTACATATCAATACATGTCAAATTTGAACATACAATAATTATTAAATCAATCACGTAATATACATAACATTTCATTTCATCCTTAAAATAAAGTTTTGTTTATATTCGTTCAGTTTACAAAAAAAAACTTTAATATAAAGTGAATTATGCAATCCAAAATTTTTGTTATATTAATGACAAAGTAACACAAAAAGGCCTAAGTAGTGCACTATGCTCCACGCTATCTTAGATTAATGTTAATAAACTAAAAAAACACTGTTAGTATGATTGGAACAAGGTGGAAGAGAATGCTCAATCAACCACTTCCATACTCCATAAAAAAAAAGCTTCTGGAAAGAAATGATACCCGAGCCACAAAATCTTCTGGAAAAGAAATGATATCCGAGCCACATATAGTGTTCAAGAAGACAGGAATGGTCCTTTGGGACACCAAACATAGGAGTCAGGTATTCTCACCATTATACTGCTCCAACAAAAGTGCAAAAATAAGATGATGAGAGGACAAAATTTTGGATGGGGCCTTTTAGTATATACTGTAGTTATTCAAAGAAAAATTTTTCCCCACAAAAGATGGTTCATTCATTCCAAATTAAGATGTGTCATCCCGACTATTTCCGATTTAAACTATATTGAAATAGTTATGCGCTCATTTTTATGATAAGTTTCGCAACGGGCGTTACTTTAATTATTTTATTTTTTTTTTTTAGTTGTTTGTTGATTTTAATTAGAAACGTTTATTAACGTTTCTTTAATTTCTTTTTTGTAGGTTTCGGGTTCTTAAAAATTCAAAAAGTGTACGAATGAAAAGATTTGATTGTAAAGAGCAATTAATTATACGTATTTATTTAATTACTTTGTGGATTAAATTGTCATTTTAAAACGTCTAAGAAAAATGATGAATGATATTGATGATACGCAAAGGAGATTTAAAATAGACCAATCAATGTTGTAACAACTGCAATTAATAGTCCAATGGATTTCACAATCTTTAACTGATTTATTTTGGCAATTTTGATTTTGAATGTTAGACATATAAAGATTCAAATCCGTACACAATGAGACTAGAAAGGTTTTGATATACTCATATATATATACAATGAACAATAAAAAAAGGAATAGAAGCTTAAAGGAAATAAAAACTAAGGTAACCCCATAAAAATTAACAAGTTTTTGTGACACAAATCACAATGAACTTAGTTTTTTTTAATAAATCTGCGCCGCGGATAAATTTGGGAGTCGCTGTACGAGTTGCGTTACAATATTTACTAATTATTGAACAGTATTTATTATTTATTTATTTCACAATTCAAAAATGGCGTAGCAAATTTTTTAGCCTTATTTAAAATCAATACATACAAATTTCAAATGCGCTCGCTCGATTGAATATTAAGTACAACTTAGGATTTTAAAACTAAAATTTTTTTTTAAACCGTAAATATTTTTTAATTTTGTTTCTTGGCAAAATTGCCAAATTTAAAGAACGCTATTTATAATATAAACAAATTAATTATTAGTATTATTTATTTCATGGGAGTTTAAAAAAAAAAATATTTATACCTTTAATTTTAAATAATTTTTGGCTGATTAAATTTTTCTACTATATCATTTTTTTTAAAAAAATTCAAATTGTGTTAAGAATTATTCAGGAGCGTCATTCATTAAATTTAACATGTGATTAAATTTTAAACTAAAATTAGAATTTTCCCGGCTATCTCGCTCGTAATTTTCAAAAATTAGTATGAAGGTAATCATGAGTGACACTTAGTCACTTAGTGCGACAGGGGATTAAAAATGAAAAATATTGTAAGCAACTTTTATTATGTGAACTTAATTCAGTTTGCGATTTTTGGTCTTGTCGGTTTATTTCAGCCGAAATAGCGATTTTAAACCAAAAAATTAAAATTAAACAAAATAGGATCATATCCCCAATCTAAAGGAATAGTCGTTATAGTGATACAGTACGAAACTTAAAGCGGGCCGGAGCTAGAAAGTTTTAAAATATGTTAATGTGGGCCAAAATTATAAAAGATCACATGACATAATTTCGAATATTTTACAAATAATTCAGTGGTAAATCTTTGTTTGAATAATCAAACTTTCATTTGGACACTGCTCAAAAAGCGAAAAAAAGGAAATAAATGATTTAGAATGTTATGATAATATAAAGATCGAAATGATTTTATGTATCGGCAATTATCGTAAAAATATCGTTTATTACCATTAATTCCTTAATCGAAAACGGTTGATATGATTAAAATATTCACTTTTTATGTTAATTGTAATTGTACTTAATAAATTATATTCTTTTAAACACCTTGCATTTCATTGTGTTATATAAAATAAAGTTTGGTATAAAAAATCAATATCACGTTTGACGTCCAACAGATAAGTATTAGCAACACCGATGATTTAATATTATCGCATTTGGTTTAGAAAAAGTAAATGTGAAAATATATTACAAGTACCCTTCTCTTCGGTCTTAGCAATATTTTTTATTACTTTACCTGAAGCGCCAGAAATAAACTCTAAAAAAAATTTCCGAAAATACTGAATTTTATATTACTAACATATTATATATTTTAACATATATAAAAACGGTGAAAAAGTAAAAGGTATACAATGAAAAGATTTTGGCTTAGCGTATTGCGATATGTAATGTAATGGCATGTTCAAAAAAGAAACATATTAATATATTAAATTTATTCGTCTCTAGAATTTCGTATAAAAACGAACGCGTCAGTTTTAGAGGATTTGCTGGAAGTATTGGTTTAGGAGTTTGCAAGTGGTAGTGCATTTTTATTTGTAATAACAAGATGCATCTACGCTTTTCTTTTCTCGACCCTTTCTAAAGTTTTGCGAAAAATGTCATGTTAGCGACACAATAGATAAGAGACAGGATTATTAAAAAGTATCAGCTACTATTAGTTTAATCACTTCAACAAATTTATAATAATTTACGAAAACAGTTTGAAAGAACGAACAAATTTCGTGATTTTAATTAAATATACAAACAGAAATTGTTGCTATAACTATGTTGTACTAACTGAATGAAATTTATTACATAAATATAATATAATATAAAAATTATTTACTTTGGATCCATTCAAAATCTTTAAAAGTAATTCCATTCAAATTATCGTCATATTTTTTAACTATTCCTTCTGCTTTACTTTTTTCTATTAAATCGTAATAACGTCTCATTGTATTAATCGCATGAAAATTTAAATTATCTTTATCTTGTATAATTTGTAATAACATGGGATGTCTACCTTTCCAATTATCAAAAAATAATTTTAAAGATTTCAATTCAGGAGCCTCATAAAGTTGAAATTTAAATCTAAACAAATTAATCGGAGATGATTTTGCCAATGTTTCAAAAAAATTATCCCAATGAACATATGTGTTCAAATAACTATTATCAAAATTAAAATATAATCCCATTAAATCCTTACAATTAATTAATAGTTTTTCCAAATGTAAAAAATCTACATATCTAGGGAATTTTAGATATTTTAAATTTGGACAACTTTGAGAAATAGTATGCATAATTATCCCAATATCGCAATCATAAGGATAAAAGTCATCAATTTTTAGTTCAATAAGATTCCCACCTGAATTCTTAATTATATTCATTAAAATTCCGTGCTGAATACCACTAGTTTTTAATATTTGCAAGTGAGGTAAAGATAAATCTTTTAAAACATTCCAATTCGTATAACGATGGTAACTATCATTCAATACTAATACTTTTAAATTTACAAAAGAAAAAACAAAATTTGTGATAGGTTGTTTTGTCAACTTAAGATATAAGATATTATCCGCATGATTAGCCAATGTCTGTTCAAGATTCTTACAATACGATCTTTCAGAATAATACTCATTTAATAAACGAATTTTTACTAAATTCTTTGATGTTTTAATTAATCTAATAATCTCATATTTGTTATTACTTGCTCCAATAGAAAGTTCCAATTCTCTAATTGATTTAAATACTTCAATTAATCCAGGTAAAACATTTAAATTTATTTTAGCATTACAACTAAGAAATCTAATTTCTGAAAAACATTTGTCGACTCCAGGAATAAGATGTAATTGACGATCAAATTGATAAGGTATATAAAGGTGTGTAAATTTCGTATTTTCATTAATAAAAAGATTATATATCTCATCTTTAATAATTTTAATTTTAGATTTTTTATCTACCGTTTTAATTATTCTTTCAATTTCATTTATATTGAAATGTTTACAAAAACTAATATAATCAAATAAAGGTCTTTCATATGATGAATTCATTAAATGTTTAAAACGTATACTTAAATTTTCTTTTGATTTTTCTGATAAATGTGAGATAATTACTTTTAATAATAATTTTTCGTTTCCACTCTTTAAATATTTCCAAGGATTTTTCCATAAAATTGGAATAATAATTTCACTCCATGTTTTATTAACTAAAAGACATGAACGAAGAGCGTTTTCATCATTTTGTAACTCTTCCGTTATTAAATAAAGAACATCTCTGTATAGTTTCGACATTTTTTTTTTTTTTTTTTAAAAAAAATTTTTTTTTTTCTCCTTTTTAAAATGAGTACAAAAATGAGTAGTACAATTTTATTTGTGACAAATTATATCAGACATGCATATTACCCATGTGATAATCATACATGCGTCATACAAATGATACAACTGATAATTTTGTAACATAGTCTAAACCTTTTTTCTTGATTCTAAACATTTTAGTGATAGTACCATTCTGTCAAAAAGAATTTTGATTTCAACCACTGCCCTATAACCTGAACAATAACACGAAGTTAACCAAATTTGTAATAGCTAGAACGTCAAGTTAAATAGTAAGAATGAAAGTAATTATAAGTGGACCACGGAGAATTTTCGTTCAAAAGATTCCTTTGTTCATTTAAAGAATGATAGAATACTATTAGTAGTCTTTTTTCGAATAATAGCAAATCATAAATCAACAACTTAAAAAGAAGTTTTCAATATCATAATTCGTTTACAACGTAATTAATCTTCCGTAGTAAGTTTAAATAATCCTTAATAAGAAATATAAATTATACAAAATTAGGCAAGACATACTATGTGCAATAGAATTTGACACGTACAGTACATAATTACACAACATTTTGCATTGCTCATCGATCGAGACATAAGTATTTATCTTATTTAAAATATTCGTTTCTTTCTTGCTTAGCTTAACACAACTTTTATGTAACAATATTATCATAAATATAGTAATTGAAAAGCTAAATAGTAACGAATAAAATATGTTCGTTGCCGCACTCAAATGTACTTTATTAAACTTTAGCTTATAATCTGTACTTCAGACTGATTGTCCAATTATAACTTATAAGTGCAAAAAAAGCCACATAACCGTATTAATTCGCAATAGAGCTTTTAATATGCGCAAGTCTTAACAAAGGTTCCTTATAAAAAATTTTCTGGGAAAACTCCGATAAATGATCATTTTTCTAATTTGTATTCCAAGAAAACTCCGACATGTTAACAATTTTCTAAAAAAATTTTTTATGGGGGTTTTAACACAACAAACTTTTAAAGGTATTCAAATAAATGAAGGTTTAAGTAAAAAAAAGGTAGTCCAGGTCGTAGACTTTCTCTTACTTATCCGAAGTCTATATAGTTTATATTGCGTATATTGCGTAATAAACAAAATAAAAAAAAATGTTAAATATTATTGTTTTTTAACTAATTAATCCCCTGTTGCACTAAGTGCCACCTTCATACTAATTTTTAAAAATTGCGAGTGATTAGCTGAGTTTATAAATGACCGGGAATCTTCCCCGGCCTCATATAGATAGCCGGGAAATTACTAATTTTAGTTAAGTTTAAAATAGTTAATATTTAATGAGTGACACGCTCCAGGGGATTACCCATTTATTTCATGGGAAGGGGGAAAAAACCCTATTATTCCCAACTCCCCATGAAATAAATAATACAAATAATTACTCATATTTAAAATCCATTATGTCGGGAAATCGGCCGATTATTTATCATTGTGTTTAACCACAATAAGATAATTGTTTTGACCAATATAATTCAAATTTATTATGATGCGTCTAAAAAGATATATTCAATAGAATAGAAATGACCAAATTAGCCCAATAATAATAACGTAGTAGGTAATGCTAACATAATACGTCCATTCATTAATAAGGATATTTATAGTAAGAAATTCGTTTTAAATTATTGACTTTATTTAAATCATACGACTCAAACGTATTACTCGCTATCCTTAAACAGTTTGAGCTTGTCGAAAGCCCCGGATAGGGCCGGGTGAATCCAAGGAAATCTTGCAGACGGTCTTATTTTACAAGTTGTATATAAATACTCTCACAATTCAAATAATTTAATTTCCTCCTCCTCTTTATTTTTGAACAATTTCTTGATTGTACGTAAAAAAAAAATGTCTTTAAATAACATTAATCGTTTTCATACTTCTTCTATAAATTTAAATCGTCATCAAAGAAGAATTAATAGAAGAAATCGACGACAAATTCGACGTATGATCTTCAACAGAACATATGGAAGATGTGCTTCGAATAATAACATTGATATATTAGATCTAATCGCACGATTACCTTTTCAAATTACGAATGATCCTTTTTCAAGTCAAATATTTAATGGTTCTTCCTTCTATTGAATTGGTATAATTTCTTTGTTACTATGTATCTACATTTTTATTGCCAAGTTTTGATTAACATGATACATTTTTCATAGGATTTTAAAACTTTTCAGTCCAACGAGACACAATATATTTCTTGTTTATGGATGAAAATATTTTATTTAGTATATTAAAGTTGCTTGTGTACATTTACTATAGTGAAATCTAAGTTCTACAAATATATTGATATTATTTATAAATTACTAATTATCGTTGAATATTTATTACTGAAACTACAAAATTTTTACCCGATTTTGTTTATGAGTATTTCAGTCCTTGTTATTTGTATATCATTACCACATAGAAAACATGTTCTTTTTCGTAGATTAAATTCAACCATAATTATTTAGAAAAAATAAAATTTGAAAATTTTCTTTGAAATTAAATTCTTTAATAATATCATTTCACAATATATATTCAGATCGGTTGATCTTTGCAGATAATGAAGAGTAATAATACAAAATTGAAGTAATTTTTTATCATATAAAATTTGCGTTTAAAATGTATTATTTTTGATAATAAATAAATAATAGTTGTTACTAAATGTAATTAACCTTATTATAAATGTTTCGACGTATCTGAATAAAATAAGAAACGAATATATTACTAACTTTAGCAATATTTATTTAAATGATTTCACAGCATCAATCATTATGTGTGATGGTACAGAGTACAGTTCTGATCGGAACTAATAATTTAACCAAATTCCAGCCAAATAAATTTCGATTAGAGTTAGGCTTGTTGAAATTTTATTTTTGGCTAATATTAACTTTACCATTTGTATCCATTTGTGATACGGAACTCATGTACTATGTCCGAATATACCCGTGTCGTACCCGGGTAAATGGGACTCTAAGCTAAGCCTATGCTTAAAGTAATGGATTTATGATTTTGAGATTAATCATTATATATATACTGTATCTCCGGAAATCATTTCATTAACATATTACATAATTTAGCAACTTTCAGGGAATAAAACATGCCAAACTGATGCGAATAATTGACATCCCTAGTTATGTCTCTGTAAAAGAACTGATATTCAAACCATGACCAGCGTTGCAATTTTCATTTATATATCATTATTAGTATACTGTATCTCTGAAATAACTGTTCTGTTGTGATTGACATTGGTGCTCCGGGTTATCATCGTTTTCAAAAAATACAGTAGTATGAACATGATCCAAGAAAAAGTGAAAAAAATATAGTTTGTTTCATATAAATAAATGCGATGAACTCTTCAAATAATTTTCTGATTTATATGATTTTTTTGTGAATTCTGTTCTGTGAATTGTTCCGTGCATTCTCTGAATAAAATGATTGGTGCACGTGCAAAATCAGCTAGCAGATTTGTTATATCCACATTCCACACTTTTGCGTATTTCCGAAAATGGCGATAATTGACCCGATCCCTTGTCAATAGGGTACCAACAAAATGATAGATCACCTGAACGCAAATCCCCTACTAAAACAAATCATCCAATAGTTTAAGGTCATTTCGGGCCGCAGTATAATCTAACCAATAGTTTAAGGTCGTTGCGGACCGCAGTAAAATTTAAAATAAAATTTGCGCCCAAAAATAATATTATACTATCACATTTTCTGACACTACAACATAGCATAAAAAATTAAATTAAGCCACATAAAATATATCAGTCCATCATAAATTAATGATTCTAATAGACAAACCAAATGAAAAGTGATAATATGTAATGAATATTCATCACATTTAAAAGTCATCCCGAAACTGGTTTCGCCTTTTCCACGAGCGAGACTCTAGTATTGTTTGAATCTCTATTTTACATAACAAAAAAAGCCATTAAATAATATTCATTCATTGGAACTCTCACAAACCAAACAGGTTACGGTACGTTTCGCCGAATTTCATTTTGCCGAAAACCATTTCGCTGAAACCATTTCACCGAAGGGAAGTTTCGCTAAAGGAATATTTCACCGAATGTGATGTCATCGAATGGACATTTCGTCGAAGGACATTTCGCAGAAAATGTTTAGTGATTAACATATAATAGATAAATATTCCTTGATCATTAACAATTCGATACAAAGAAAATAAAAAATGCTCAAAGTACAAATTCCCTCTAAACTATTTCATTTTCATTTTATGATGATTTTGTTATCTTTTTTTTTAAATAAACGTGACTTAATATGTATTAAATAATTCGTTTGTTTTCTCAAAAAAAAAGAAAAATTAAAAAATTCCACAATTTCGGCGAAATGTCCCAGTGAAATGGCTTCGGTGAAATGGGTTTCGGTAAAATGGCCATTCAGCGAAATGTCCAACTTAGGAAATAGCATTTCGGCGAAATGGTACTTCGGTGAAATATCCCTTCAGTGAAATTGCCTCGGCAAAATGGATTTCGGTGAAAAGGACTTCGGCGAAAAGTCCGGACACAGTCACGGTGAAATGGCTTCAGTGAAATGGGTTTCGGTAAAATGGCCATTCAGCGAAATGTCCACTTAGGAAATGGCATTTCGGCGAAATGGTACTTCGGTGAAATATCCCTTCGGTGAAATTGCCACGGCGAAATGGATTTCGGTGAAAAGGACTTCGGAGAAAAGTCCGGATACCAAATCACATATAATTTTCAACAAACTATCTGGTGGCGATGAAGTCACCACACATTAACTAATCTAGTTAAAATATAGTTAAAAATATAATTTGAATTATTTGATTAGTATTAACGAAAAGATTTGTAAATTTTATCAATACCAATGCAAATTGTTTGCAAATTTTATTAATATTAATGCAAATTAACTAACGTTACTATATTATTAATGAAATTAAAAGGAAAAATTTTTTATTTTAATTAAAAGGACTATGTACAGTATATTATTAAATTACTAATCTTTTGAAATTAGAAACAATTGCATTAAAAATTAACTAATCCAGTCAGGATTTTAGCTGTCAAGATTATAGATCACCAGGATTCTGAGACTGTCAGGGATTTTTGGGAGATCCCATTTTGAATGACACAATTTCGTTAAAACTAATTTAAAATGAAACTTATGATATTATTATCCCTGGTTTTTTATTTCTTTTTTTTAATACAAGCCACCTGAAATATATTAATTTAGTTATATTCCTCATGCCCTATAAAAAAATTGGATACGTTTTTTATAAAGTTTTTATACGATTTTTTTTCCTTAGAAATAACGTATCATAATAGGATACGGAAAAATGCACAATTCCGTATCACTAAAAATATGGTTTGGATACGGAATTTGCACGGGATTTATA